AACTGTTGATCGTTTCCCTATTCTAGAAATTACATAGAAATCCACGGAATGCCCAATTGCCGGATGCCCAGTTTTATTTCCTGCCAGCAAGGCTGGATCTATCTGTTACCAGATGATCACCCACCGGCTATCGTACCAAGGCATCGGTGGAAAAGCGATCCAGCTTGGATCGGCGTCGCACCGCACGCCGATCCCCTCGTGTTGGTCCGGCAAGGCAACAAATAAAGAGTTGACGTGCATCGTCAATTGCCTAAAGTCGAAAAAGAATAAATGCCATGCCGTGGTGGCTGTTGTTCAAATGGCTGGTGTTCTCCAGCGTCCGGTGTACTGTGTATTAATCATTAGTACACCCGGAATACCGAGCACAAGAGGTTTACATTAGTTATGCCTCCCCTCGTCCGCCAGCCGTTATTCGTCTTTTTTTTTTTTAACCTGCAACAACCGAGTTGGTGCCAACCATGATTCGCGGGCTCGATATTTAGCAAAATCACATGTATCACATGGCTTTTGTCTCTTGTCGTGGACCACCGGATGTTTCTTGCTATCGGGCCGTGGCAGCACGGCGCGAGAGCGAATGCCTACATACTTTGCCGTGTCTGCTTCGACGACAACCACTACAAATAACCCTTAATAACACAATCACTGGCGCATGGTTGCATTTTGCTGCCTCGCCAACCCTGCTCCCGAGAGCAGAGCGTGTTCCATACCATGGCACGACTCAGGATGGCTGCATTCGGGGTGGTCACCCCGGTCTATGGTTGCAACCAATTAACTACCAAAAGCCGGATTCTGCGACTTGGCACACAAATCTTTTTTTACACGCAAAAGCGGAAGCGCAGGGAATTGTTCCTTTTCTTGTTACTCACACCCTGGTACAGAACCTTTTTTCTTCTCCTTGGTGCTGTGCCTCGTCAGACTTTGCTTCCTGTCGGAGATACAGCACTCCTTCATACTCCATCATACAAGGCACGACTGATAAGCAAGCTCTCAAGCTCAAGACTCGAGGCTTGCGGCCAGCCTTTTCGATACGTTGGCTCGATTATAGCCAATTATGAGAGATGTCGTGTCAACCCATCGTCAACCTAGATATACAGGTCGAGTCCTGATTGATTGCAGACGTGCTCGCTGGTGGTTGTCGATTGGCAGCGCATCTATCTCGAGCAAATGAATATGTGGGGTCGCCCTGCTGTGTACTGACCTACCTAGAAACGGCATTCCCCGCGAACGCCGGGCCCCCTTTGGATCTTCGATACGCCAGACAAAGTTTTGACAGCTCTTGCCGACAAAAAGAAAAGGCATGATTCAGTCACGATTGTCAAAGTGGTCACACCTCTATCTAAGAAACTTTTATTTGCAAACCCGGAACTCTGGGGAAGTGGTACAGTTTTCCAAGATCGGCAGGCAAGCCACCTTTACAGTTCACTTCGTCACTCTCCAGTCAACCAGTGGTTCTCGCTCTTTTGCGTTTGCGGGGAGGATGCCACAGGTGGGTATGTGACATGATCCGCCATAACGAAGAGAACAGCAGCAACATGGCCCGGCCCTATCTAGACATGCCATTGGGGGCTGCGAACTGCCTCCTGTACTTTTCTCCTTCCCTTGACCGTCGTCCTGTTCATCCCAACTTCCAGCGCAGATATCCATCTTCGCCCGCACCTGGCCAGGCCGGACTCCGCGCCGTCCTAGTAAAGTGAGGATGTGCGTCCTCCACCACTAGTGGCATTTCCTGGCTTTATTACCGGGGGATCTGCAAAGAAGCACAGGACCCGGACGATTGGAAGTACTATTAAATAATCTACAATTGCGACGGAGGCAGATCTCGATACAAAGCGTCATTTTGATCGTGTCTATTGTTCTAGTCTGCTAGTTATTCTCAATATTTGGTGTTTGTTCGGATGGTCGAAACGTTCCGCAGGGTACCGCCGAAGATTGTCGTCTCATATTGGATTATCCAATACAAAAATCTTCTGATGAAATTTGGTCGCTTCTTTCAATATTCAGAGACTCTAAGCAACAAGTCATTGTCATCCGACCAGGAGGATGGGAGACCGATCCCGCTTCCTGCTTGAAGAATTCGAGCTTTTCGAAGGAGAGAGAAAATCATCCGACCTCGGTATACTGGCGGTCGGACAGTCACTTTGCTGTTAGCTTCATCGCAACTTTTACCTTGAGAAATATGTTTAGCAAGGAGATGCTTTGATTTATAGGATACGGCTCCTAAACAAGTATCCAGCAGGTGCTGCAATTTATCTAGAGAAAAGTCTATGAGAATCGATCAATCTAAAGCTGCCGTGTGCCTCTGCTTGTCGTTGATCCAGATCACTCGTGTCGGCGGGTCCGCTTCTCTTCGCGATCGGCCTCGCTGTCGACGCGGGGTCTGGAACGCTTTCTCTGCTCGCCGTGGAAGTTCAGCTAGATAGACAGTTGCTTGTCAGCAATATAATCTCAATGACGAGTGCAAGATCGCTAGATTTGGCAACTTGCCTGGAAAAGTGCTGCATCGGCATGGCCCGGCTGGGAGATGTTGCCGGCTTGGGAGTCGTTGACGGCTAGGTCAAAAGAATCAGTAGGGGCGGCAGGATGGCGCTTGACACGAATTCAAGTCTCGCTTACCTGGGGACTCGGTGTCAGATGCGTTAAGGTCAATATCTCTCATGGCCGAGTCAATGTCATCGACAGAAGCCTCGCGCTCCTGCTTCATACCGTCGTCATCGAGAGAAGCGTCGTGCTCCTGCTCCATAACGTCGTCGTCGAGAGACGCCTCGTACTGCTGCTCCATACCAACCTCATCGGCTTCTGCAACGTCCGAACGGCGGCTGTGGTCCTGGCTGCAAACCACAAGGATGGGATTTCTACGGCGAACAGTCATGAGGGCATCGCGTAAGGACACGTGTATGCGGGTTCCGTCGGTATGGTCGGTCATGTAAGCGACAGTGCAGTCATATTTGGCGATCACCACCCTGGTGCGAAGAGGGGCCCAGCCGTCCAAGACCTGGAGCGCCATGCACTCGGGATCCGAGGCCAACTTTTCAGCAATGACGAGCTTGAGCTGATCCCACTCTTGGAGGACGCCGGCCGAGTCGGCGAGCTGAGCATCCACATCGGCGATGAGCAGGTTGGCGCCGTTGTCCGTGAGTACAGACATCTGGTTGGTGAGAATGGCCTGGCCGCGCTCAGATAAGGGCATATGCTCCAGCTCAGGATCGTATATGCCGTTCATTATCAGCCAGTGCAGGTGCAAAGCGAGTCGCACGGGATGGATGATCATCTGGCACCTTCCAGGAGGATTGACCTCGGACACGTCAAATCCGAGCCGCGTGATCTCGACTGTGTTCAAGTTTCTGCGATTAGCACAAGAAGAACAAGAGCCAATGATTAGAGGGAGGAGAGAGGATTGAGGATTGAAGGGGCGGGGAGAGAGGGAGAGGGGGAGAGAGAAATGGTCCTACCGGAGAAAGGGCCCTGGAAGGGGATGGCCTCGATGTCCGGAGACAAGCGAGTCGTTCCTGTGGCCGCCATGACGAAGGTATTTATTTGCTTGGGGATACTTTCTTCTGGTGCGGCTGGTTGTTGTGGTGGAAGTGTGGCCAGACGAAAAGCTCGTCTGTTTGTGGGCAGGAACAGAAAGAGGGAAACCACCGGCAGGAAAATTTGAGAATCGTGGGCTTCACCTGAGAAAAAGCTGCAGGGTAAGCAAGCCCCGACCCAATTGCTGGGTGCAAGCTTCTCGGCATCAAGTCCAACTTGATCGAGTATTGAGACCAGTCGCCGAGACTTTGGATCGTGAGGGGGCAAACGAGAAGAGGGACGCCGATGACATGGCGGCGGTTGATACTTGAAGTTGACCAAAGCCGTGTCACAAAGGGACGGAAGAAAATGTATCGACTGTGCCTCTTGTCCGGACTTCATATAAGGAGTGAACTTCATAACAGGCATAATACTAATTCTCCATACTGTCTTGCAATGTCCCATAATAATCTCGGACGGAATTGCCACATTCTTTCTATCCATTTTCGAGTAATATCAAGCTTGACTTCAGCCGAGTGCAGAAATCTCTACCAAAAACAGGCAGTGTCCGATAATCTGGAACGGCAGGGTTGTCCGGAACTTACTCGTGGTCTGATAGTCTTGTTATAAATTTCAGAGTAACCGACAAGGCGAAAAGAGTTACGCACAAGGCGGAAGACCTGTAGCGTGTTTCTCAGCATAAAGGGAATGCTATCGAATCCGCCGTTGGGACACATCGAAGCGACGTGTCACTTTCTAGGCTACATGAGGTCGTCGAGGGTTTGTTCACCGTCGAGACTGACTACATATCATGCCGGGCTCCCAGAATATTACTGTGGTCCATATGCGTTTGATGAGCAGAGGATACAGCCCAGGAAATATTCTTATAGAGCCGGACTTCAAGAAAGGCATCGTAACCCGACTATCGAAAGGCTGGCTTACGTGATAGTCCGTGAGTTGAGGAGAGAAGCAAAAGTTTATTTGCACACTTTGTCTTTGCCAGATCAACAGCTTGCCTGTGTGAACGGAGAAGCAAGTTGTGTTGTAGGAAACAAGACCAGCAAGCCCAGATTACATAAGGTGGCCATTTGAGGCTTTTTGAACTTAGTCCAGGACAGAATGGCTTGTACGTGTTTGTCTTTGCACATTTACTTGTTCGGGAATGAGGAATTGGATGATATCGATTGTACAATCTTTTCCCTTCTGTTTCCGTACGCAACATGTTTCACTTAATAACTGCAAACAAGAAAATCAGAAGCACCATGTTGGACAAATCAGCCGAGAATCATGGAAATAACATTTATGCGAAAAAGACATGCTATAAGACATGTTGTAAGTTATGGGGCAATATGATCAAGCGCTCGTCGCCGAACACGACATGAGTATATTACAGCTTGAACACGCCTATATCACCCAGATTAGACGAAAGGGATCCACATCACCTATGGTTTGTACCAACGAGTATGCTAATGGTGATACAATCTTTTCATCAAGGCGTTGTGGCAGAGTGGTCTAATGCGCAAGACTAGAATGATATCACATCAGTTTATCTTGTTCCTTCGGGAGCGCCTGTTCGAACCAGGTCAACGTCGCGAGTTTCTTTTTGCCTTGTCAGGCGACGGTGGTATCTTTTTTTTTTTGCCTCTTACTCTTCCTTATGGATCCCAACGTTGCAACTCATTTGAAGGTCATACCCGTGGTGACTTACATCATGCTTTGTTTTGTGCGTGTTACTACCAATATTTGACTTTATAGTTGCGAAGTGACTCTCCCCATGATGCTGATGTATTCGGTAGAATACTGTCAGGCTTTGATGACATCCTCCGGCTGTGCCAAGGCACATAGCCTTCCGTCAGCTCGCCAGGCATAATGGTCTGACTTGCAGCCATCAGTCGAATACTTTGCAGATGCAACCCCGCAGGACTCAGCCTTGCCTCCCAATATGAAATTGAGGCAAAAGTCTCCAACAAAGAACAGACATATCTATCACACCTGCTGCCCCGGTCTTGACCCTCCGAGCTAGGTCGTGCTGCCTCAGAAGCATCTTTACGAACTCAAAAATTCCTCCACGAGTATGGAGGTCATATCCGTGATTGCAACCGTATGTCAACTCCTAGACTTTGGCCACAAGGTGTTCGTCGGCTACCGAAAAGTCTCTGGGGCCGCGGACGGGATCACCGAGGAGCACGACCGGGTAGGGGAGCTCGCCGATCATTTGCTCAAAGCCGTTGGGTATCTGAAAGCGCAGCAGGCGATACTCGGGGACGACCTCGACAGATACCACGCGACGCTATGCTCCCGGGCTACTGGTCTGGTAGAGGAGGTGTCGGCCTTCTTGGATGCCGTGCGCGTGAGAGGCATGCCTGGAAAGTGGAACTGTGTGAGATCTGCGGTCAAGGCCATGGGAATGGAGAAGAAGTTTGGACTGCTCGAGCAGCGTCTAGGACAGCTCTCGCGAGAAGTCGAGACCGAGCGGCAGAAGCTGGAGAACCGTATGATAAGGTACGTGGAGGCAGTAATGGCAACTATCAACGCAGTAGATGGCTGACTCAATTCCAGAGAGGCACAAGATCGTTCACATGTGACGTTGTCCAAGGGCTTCGACGAGATACGAACCCTGCAACAGCAGCATTTGACCCTGCAGAAGCAGACTATAGAGCTACTCACGCTGAATAGCCGCAAGCCACGGGACCATGGGTACGAATGGGAAGCCAGCGACTGGATTTTCGTCGACGACGGACTTGGCCCTATCTACCCGTTCCCAGTCGATCTATGCACGACGCTCGAGGTAAAGCACCATCCAGTCTCCAACAAGATCCCGGGATTCATAACCGCTGACGCTCTGCCAAGGACTTCTTCAAGGTGGTACAGATACGCTTCCGCTCGCGGAAACTGCCCGGATCGAGACAGCTCGACCGCGGCCACATACTCATCTCCGCCGAGAACGGCAAGATGCCGTTCACTAAGGAGAACTGGAGCGTCAACGTCACCAATGGCGCGAGACTCCGCATCTCGTTCATCGTGGGGATGTGGCGTGGGCTCAGCTTTTCCAAGTGCGCGCGGTGTCGCAAGCCCTACGCGAGGGCATACAAGGAGGGAGAATTTAGTACCTGGTGAGTATAATTAATTCGGTGACTCCTTCTTCATACCATCCAGGCTAACGTCTCTCAGCAACTCGTGTGACTTGAGGATTCTGTTGGTCGAACCCGACCAGATCCTGTTCGAGCCAGAGGATATGACCATCGGTACGGGAAGAAACGTCTATCGAGACTACAAACAGAGAAAGCGCGGCAAGAATCCAACTGCACATGAACGCTCCAAGCTCAGGACCGAATTCGCCAAGCAGCTCGCAATCAAGATGGCATCAGAAGAGCCTAGCATCGACCTCGTCTGTCGAAGTCTGGTCGCGAAATGGGAGCCCATGTTCAACTTGGTACATCGATACGTCTTCTGTCGGTGCGTGATTCGCCTCGGCACCCCGTCGCGGTCGCGATTCGATCCCGAGCTTGTCAGCTTGGTCTTGGATGTGTGCCCTCGTCACAACGTCACCGGCGTCCAGCGCAAGGACTATGGTGATCTCATCAGCAACAGTGACGACCCCTACTTTGATAAATACGGTGGATATGACGTGTTTAGAGCTGTCACTTCTGCCGCCGGCGCTGCCCAAGAGCTCGGCGACTTTGAAATGTCAAAGGGGGAGATTCTGGGGGTTCTCGAAAAGGTTGACCGAAGTACGCAGGAGAAGATCTTCGAAGAGCTAAAGTTTGAAGTCAACGGATGTCTACTCGAGCATGGCTGCGAACTGCCGGCAGATTCAGTTGAGTATGTCAAGAAACGGCAGAAGAAGCGTGCAGAGAATGTGCGATCGACGCTCTTTGGAGACGAGATTCCCGAGCCGTTGCCTCAAATAAAGGATGCGCCGATCTTCAAGGAGGTGAGAGATATCCTGGCTGGCAGGTGGGACGGCCGTCCACATTGGTCGGTGAGCACAACCGAAGGAGGCCGTTAAGTGTTGACATCAGAGATCGAGTTCATGAAGAGTCTATGTAAGCTCGATGAGTTTGCTACTAAGCTGGCAAGTCCCCCAAGTGACTGCACACAATGAACATACTTGATTGGGTATATCCGACTATCATAACTCGTAATTCAATCTATGACGAGAACACGCCAGTAAACAATCTCCACAGCCTTTCTATTGCTCGCTTTGGGCTGAACATGACCTGAGCCCCGACTTGGCTTTCGACCAATGCGTTTTTGATAGTGAGCTCCGCATCGAAACTGCTTTGCCACTAACCTAGTAAACACTCCCCAGAATGCTTCGGTCTTCCTTCTCAGCCTTATCCAGATCTTCTTCCTCATGGTCGTGATCGTGGTCGTCGGCATCTCCATTCTCTTCCCTCTCGTCACCGCCATCCTCGCTTCCATCTGTTGAACAGCCTCGACTGGCTGGCGCATCACCAAGCCTATTGGCGTGCGCACGTCTGACCGTTCCACTCTCGTTCGAATATTTTCCATTCTCTCCGTTGCTACTGCCATTAGTAGCAGCACCGGTTCCATTCGCAGGCTTCACCCTTGCCGCAATACTAGCTAAGCGTTGCCTGGCATCATCCTCGGACATCTCAGCATCGCTATTAGCCCCGGAATGGGTGCCACCGAAATCGCGGCCTACGTGCAGAAACTTGGGCGACTTGATGTGGCGCAGGCGATCCTCGACGGTGATGAAGGAGGGTGTACCATCTGGCGATGAGACGACTTCTTCGCGAGCTCTAATGACATCGATTTTCGGTCCGCCTGGTTTCCCGCGCGGATCGTCTGAGTCGTCGTCCGAAGAGTTGAGTGTACGCGGTACCCGGCGAGAGGCAATAGTTGTCGTGGTGCTGGAGACGGTAGTGCTGCTAGCAGCTGCAGCGCTGCTCTTAGCAGCGTGTTTCTCATCAACCTGCCTCAGCTCTAACAAGTCTCTGCGTATCTTGGGGATGTGCTTCGAATGATTGCAACCTTCGGGGCAGCCGCCCCAGCGCCTCTCCTTAGCTGGCGTGGCGGCCGGTGCTGTCGCGTTCGTCTTTTCCTTTCCCTTCTCGGCATCCTCCTTCGCTGTAAGTGCGGCGCGCTCCCGCCTCAGGGCAGACCACGTCCGAAGCTTATTCTGGAGGATGTACTTTCCACTATCTTCCTGTTTCTTCATGATGAGAAACTCGCAGTGGTTGACGTTCCTGAGGTCCTCAAAGTACTCGACGGAAAAGTGATACCACTTCATGAGGAACACCCTGCTCATAAGGCCGTGAGTGACAAGCACGCAGACGCTCGGAAAGTCGTCTTCGCCAAACTGACGATAGAGACTCTCGTTGAAGCCGGACACGCGGTCGTAGGCGTCCGCGGCCGACTCGCCGTTGGGGATTCGGTAGAAGAAGTGACCATAGTCGGCGCGCTCCTGCCACATGCGCTCCATCTCGGCGCTGCAGGGCTGGAAATTGCCAAAGTCCTGCTCGCGCAGCCGCGGCTCCTCGTATACGTTGATGCTAGAGCGCTTGAAGGGGCTCGGATCGTCCTCGTCCGACGTCAGTGTCTCGAGGATGCCCTCGGTCGTTTCTCTCGTCCTACGGTAGGGAGACGTGAAGAAGTGCAACGTATCGTCGGCTCGGAGCATGGAGCGCAGGCGTCGCCCGGCCTCGCGGGCCTGGGCCCAGCCATCTTGCGTGAGCTTGACACGGTGATCGGGGATTGTCTGGTGGATTTCTCTGTTTTCTAGTAGATGTATGAGGTCAGAAAGGTGGTTGCCTGGTAGAATGTTCAAGTGGAACGGGTATCCTTTGACTTACTGTTGCCCTCGGACTGGGCATGTCTGATGAGAATGATCAGCCTAGGTCGTCCCATGGTGGCGTTTTTGCCCGGCCTCAATTTTATTTTCTTCCGGAAGACGAGCTCGTCGCTTCGTCTCGAGATAATCCTGTGTTCCTAGAGGTGATTCGTATGCGACAAGTAGTCAGAACCAGTGACTGTATTCGCTTGAAACGAGAGCTGGTCCGTAGTCACAGCAACGTGTGAGCAGCTGGCGACTGAATGCGCAAGAGAAGTTGGAGAGAATCTTCTGTTTTATTCGAACAAAGTAGTAGTACGGAAAGTGTGACACTGAGCAGTCGCTACGGGTAAATCTTTTGACGCAGTGATAGGTAGGTAGCAATCACGACTGGCACAAGCAAACGGACGAGTGGATGTCGTGATACCAAAGAGCAGATCCGAGGCAAGGCGAGGCAAACGAAGGACAGATAATCTTTTCGGAGGTTCGGGGAAAAGGGAAGAAAACTGATCCAACAGGAAGGAAAATGAAACTTGTGACTCCCAACTCACGAGACTCCCACCAAAGACTCTCCCACACGATTCAGCTTCCCACTCACGAAGAAACAACCCAAAGTTTCAACCAAGGCTTCCTGGGTATCGCCCCCCGTTCGGCCCCTGCTTATCGACTGCTTGGAGGGGTAGATCGACCCCGCCGCCCTGCTGAGAAACGCACTTGGCCCTGCCGCCATTGGCCTGCTGGACCGCCTGGACCCGGTATCTCCCAGCTATGCCAGCGCTAAGACCGCCCTCAGGG